TGCCAATGTAGCTGGTTTCAAGATTTGTTTTCATATTACATGTGTAAATCGATACCTACCTAATTGTGGTAATTAATATTTATAAAGTGCGATGAACTTTTAATTCATGAAGACATAAACTTCCTTTATTCATTTAGGTTTTACGATGACCTCTGTTATTACCTACACAAATATAGCTACAGAATTATTTAATGTACGGTGACACTAAACTTAAGGTTATTTTACATTTGAATTTAGAGCGTGATGAGGTGATGTCAAGTTTTATGTTACAATTGCTACTTGATATTATAAAGTCTAGTCTAACAAGTATTGAAGAAAAATATATTTTTCAAGGTGAAACATTATTTCGATCAAGTTTTTCTCTTAACATACAATCGCTGCTCAAAAGTTTGTAGTGTTAAATGCTTTTAATACCTTATGGACGTGATTTGTTCTAAGAGAAACTAATAAGAAAAAAGTACAGCTCATATTAAGAGCGTTGTAAGGCATCGTCGTGTGAGCATACTTTGTTGAAGTGGTGATGGTTTCCCTTACGGACGCGGTCGTGGCGATTATGATCAATTAAATATTGTCTATTTGCTACTAAACAATTTACTTAGCAGAAATTAGAAAGTGTACGATGAGCTCCATGCTTATAAAGCTTCTCTCGTAATTTCATATTAGTTTTATGGTTGTGGTAAAAATTCATTATGAGAAAATGTATGACAGCCGTACTTTAAATTCCAAAAAGTATACAAAAGTAAATAAAAAGTAAAAAGGAGAAGTTTTTGGATACCATATTTTAATAGACTATTACACTCAAGTTTTGAATATTTGAATGCACGCGGATTTTAAACTTGTTTTCTACTGACTTCTACACTTGTACTCTACAACGACCTAAGCACGGTACTATTATAATACAGTACTCAAACTTCATACAGACGGACGAAACGCGAGCTATACCTACGCGCCTCGATCTCGGGGTGCGCTCGGGGCGCAGACAGTCACGGCTGTACCGCAGTGTCGAACGGACGGTGTGTTGTTTTTTTAACAATAACCGCGCGATTTTTTCTCTAAAAATCAGTTAATGTGACGAGTAGGAAATATTGTGCTGTTTTTGGTTGTATGAATTCGTCAATAACGCATCCAGACATAAGTTTTTTTAAATTACCTGGAAACTCTGAAAGGTAATACTATAATAATTTTACTTTACTTAATAATAATTAATAAAATAATTATTTTACTTACTAGTAGGTAGGTACATAATATGTGTCTTTTTAATGGCTAAGTATTTCCTTTTATCTCACAAAAAAAAGGTGTTTGGATTAATAAATAAAGCGAATAGAGTAACGGAAAGTTATTGAGACGAGTGAAATAGGTAGTTATATGCGGTTCCGAATGAATCATGATACGGTAGGTAACTACTTACGCTTGTGTTAAAACTTCGGTGCATGTGCATAATTCAAAGTAAAGACGTGGTATTTTATTATTAATAATATTTGTTTATTATTTATGAATAATTATTTTAAAAAAATATTTTAAATTATTTTAAATTAATTATTTTAAATATTATTTATGAATAATACTAGAAAAAATTTTTTACCGTCTGTGTGTCATTAGATAGTTTTCGAAATTTTCAGTGTTTCTGCTGCTACTGTAACAACATATACCACTAAAAACTGGTTTTATTTTCTCGGTATTAACAACAACAGCTAGACTCATATATAATATTTAGATGTTTGAGGGTTGTGATTTTAAAACATTCGTAGTCAGCTGTTCAGCTTTTTAATAATTAATTAATTGGTGACCAAAGAATTTTTGTTTTGAGTTGTTGCGAGTTGTAGGTGGGTACCTAATTTATGGAGACGTTAATAAGCTGAGATAAAAAGTTACTTACTCGTCAGCTGTTTCTTGCATTCTAGTTGAGTAGGCAGGTGTTGGAGTTTCTAAAGATTGGAGTTTTGTAACGCGTATGGAGAAAGCACATTTTTTTTATTTTATAGAAGGATTTTTAAGCTATTGCATAGCTTTTATTGCGGGCTCTGAGCGCGGCGCGGCGAGGTGACTGAATCAAGAAATTCTCAAAACCTAACGAAAAATACCTGACACCACGCAGATTTTTTTCTTTAAAAAAAAATTTTTATGCAACAGCTTTACCGCGGCAGTCTCCGAGAGTGCCACATGTATTTTTTTTTCAGACGTCTTCAATGGTTGCAACTGATCCGGCGAGATGATTTGGAAAACAAACCTAACTTTAGTTCCTACCAAGTTTGTGAAAAACATTTTAATTTGGAGGATGTATTACATTCATCAAATAGAAAACTTTTAAAAAAGAATGCCCTACCATTGTTAGTACTGATCCAGGAGTCTCTCTAAAAGAAGATAAACAAACCCAAACTGCTCCGTTGGTAGGAAATGAAAATAGTACACAGACTGAAAATGCAACAAATGAAATCTTTGCTCAAATCTCAACGAGTCTCTCTAGCAACACTCCAAGAAAAAGAAAATTGAAACTTGAACTCCTCCAATGCAGATAGATAATAAAATAATTAAATCTACCAATCAAAAAACAACACGCATTTTTATTGAACACTTCCTATTCAATATACAAAGTATTTCATTTATTTATATAAAAAGGATATTTACAATCACAAATCTAAATAGAAACAGAATGTAGGCAAATATAATTAAAATGCTGGAGACGGGCAGCCCTAACACATGTTTACGTACCGCGCGGCTGTAGGCATTTATTTCTATCATGCGGCCGAGTTACACTACTGTATTATAATTGTACCGTGACCTAAGTTTTATGTATGTACGAATGAATATATTTAAGTCCAAAACTACGACAAAATTTCTATTAAGATCAACTTTTCAATATAGATTACAAATCAAGTCACACCTCAAATCAAATTCAAAGCACAATATGTCATTGGCGTTTTATTATTCAAATGATGTAACTTCAAAAGTAAAAGGCAAAACAAGATTTCAATTTTACTCTTTTTATATTTCGAACACCATTATGCGACTGATTGGTATTAAAATTTAATCAGTCAACTTCTAAAACTCGTGATTTTTAAATGTTATTTTTTTTTAGAATATACCTAAATGTATCGTTGCAAGTTGGTATAGATGGATGTATTACATAAAAAACGCATTACATTAGCCAGAGAATGAGCAGGGGAATTATGGAGAGTAGAGTACAATTGCAAAATTACAACTCATTAACTCTAAATTATTTTGGGGTACAGGTGCAGCAGTATTAATTTGGGGTACAGGTGCAGTAGTTGATTATGTCGATGCACATAGTATCAGTTGCTAACCGGATAACATAAACATCAGCATTTACCATAGTACAGGCTCTAGGCTCTGCCTAGTTTTGGATAGAAGGATATTGTGTGAGGTTATTAACAAAAAAAAAACATAATATATAAGAAATAAAATGTCACTAGAAATAAGTGCCACTACAATGTAGGTTACTACGAAATATTGGTCCCCTAGTGATCACGAATCTCTATTGTTAAAAACATGTTTTAACTGCGATTATTTTACGAGTGGATTTTTTTTCATTCTCCATAGTATCGATTACAGCTGCCATTCCATATTTTCCGCTCAAAAAACCAACAACAGTAATTATGTCAAGTACCTTCAACTTATGAATACATTTTTAACATCCTCATCGAGACAAGTGACGGAAGTTTAAGGACCTTGCTTGTATCTCGAAATTGTCTTAAAGGGTTATGTGTTTGATCGGTACCTACATACGAGTAATATGTATATCCGTCACTATGTTCCCTCGTGAGTACTTTAACGCCTTAACCGATTTCAAAAAAGGATATTTGGTTAGTTGTCTTTTAAAAAAAACTTAAAATACATTATACACACAGATACACACTTTTAATTAAGTGTAAGAAATCGGTAAGACGGGCCGATGAGTTTTAAAAAACATGGCGACTTTTCCTTTTCGCACACAAAAGAGTTGTCAAATTCTATTTGGCGCTAAAATTTTAAAATCATCATAATAGTATCAAAGACCGTAGAGTTTTAAAAGATAATTATTAAATTTTATTTGCATTTACAACTTATGTGTTTATTAGTTCGAATTTTGAAGAATCTGGTTTTGTTTCATTTACCTAAAGATTTCTTGTTTTTGCATAGTTTAATAAATCAGTTCCTTATGTTGATAAGGATTCTGATTTTGACAAGTTTTCAAATTTTTTATTCAATTGAATTTCGACAAAATATTCCAATAGATAGTAATATTCTAATAGCAAACTAATAAAAAATGGCACTAAGTTCGCCAATAAACGGATACCCGTTGAAATTGAGCTATTTTAGTAGAAAAAGTATTGAAGGATTAGGTTAGGAGATTAATATTATAACAGCGTAGTACGTCACTTCAGTGTAGCTTTTACAACAAAACTGTTCACGAAGTATCAATGTGACACTCCACTTAACAGACATAGAGATTAATTGTAATGAAAAAAAGGTGCCCCTTTATAGTGTACATTTAGACCTATGTTACCTTTCTGTTATGATATAAATCTTGTTATATAATGTTAGAGTATTATAATTCATAATTTAAGCAGTTCCAACTACATTGGCTGCTAATGCTTTGTAGATGTAGCCCAACTCGCTCATTCGCATAATATTATTAATGTTAAGTTCATTTAGCTTTGCCTACAAAGCTAAGATTTTACCTAAATCACATACTCCGGATCTACATATAACGTGTTACAGAATGTGAACGTGATACACTTGTCTTAGTCATTTAGCAAATCATTTCGCAACACTCGTTGTTACTTAGTAGGTTCTGAGCACAATTTGTAGTTGAAAGTAAATCCGTAGTACCAACAGAGATATGAATATCTATGTGTATGTAATTATTTTGTTGCTATCGCTATACGTATGGCTTACAATCTTAATTTAAGCCACATGAATGTTGTAAATATAAATTACACTAGAAACATGAGCGAAAATATGTGAACTGATAAAGCTTAATGAAAAAAATAGATAAGTACCTGTATTTGCGGCGCTAGTCGAGGTGCTCCACAGGAGCACTGTTCTCCACAGAGGCAACCATTATCGAATGCACGCCCCGATGCTAAGTCTCCTAAATGCCTTCCCGAAGGAGTCGTTAACCTCAATGCTGAGGCATCAGACTGCGACCTGTGATGGCCTCTTCGCGCTGCTGGCCTGATTTCCTCTGCCAGTATGGAATCTCTTAATTTCGTCGCCCGCGACCTCTTTGCATCACCTCCGAAAGCGGTTAGCAACCACGCAAGTCTTAAAGAAAACTCTGCACTTTGTTTACACCTATACACCAAGTAGGGCTTCAGCACGTCCGCTACATCGCCCATTTCTATATACATAGTCGCTAATTGTGGCAAATAGAAATCCACATCCTCGTATGGAAAAGAGAATAGTTTGTTAGCCAAGTATGTCTGCACACCCGGCTCTTTCGAGTTGAAGAGATATGAGATTGCCATGCTCATATCAAAGAGTTTGCTTTCGAACAACCGCAGAAGAAAGTCTTTGTTTTTAGATGTTTCAGCCGCGCATACATCTGTTTTGACAGATTGATCAATTGTATCTGGCGGATCTGGCGGTTTATCTGTGTCCTCTGGGTTACCGGAATCCAGACTTTCCCTGGATCTTGCTGCGGCTGGTGGTGGAGGTCGTTCGTCGTCATTGCCATCAGGTGGTGTATGGATACCTGAGTCGTCAGAACCAGTTGGCACTTCTGGTGGAAGAGCGAGTCTCGGAGTTTGAACTTCGATAGGAATTCGAAGTGGTCCCTCCGGCGAGGTAGGTGTCATGTCTTCTGGTATCCTTTGAAGGACAGAGTCCAAGGATCTATTCCGTTGATGGCCGCATCCCGCTGGCGGCCCACTTGCACCCGTCACATGTCTAAAACAAAATGAAACACATGTGAGGAATAATATTCCAAAAACAGTATTTTAAATAAGAACTTATGTCACTAGTGGGTGAGTATTTTTTTCTCCGCATAGAATTACGTACTTATAAAACGGATCTTCGTAATGTTGTATACCGACGACAATAATCTTCCTAACCATTTGCCCGGTTTTCACTATAACACACAGAAACTCAATCACTATTTAGAACACAGAGCACGATTATTCAATTAACCTCCTCACATAAACATATAGTGGTTGCGTTTGAGCACTGGCGTAGCGTTAAAACAATGCGAGCAGCCTTGCGATATTTCATAGCGCGTATTTAAACATTGACCATTGTGTAAGCGTACTGTACACGCGTCCTACCCCGCGGCCGCCGTATGGCAAACTGTTTTACGCAACAAATAGACGCGCCGCCCCGCATACCACTCCAATAAGGATCACCTCGATTACGCAGCCGAATCGCAACTAAACAACTGCGAAACAGTATAAACAAAAATCTTTGCTTTGCTGGTCAAGCATTTCATCGACTAAGTTCTGGACTCTAATATTACTCTCGTAAGTAAAGCAAAATTTTCTGTTACGTTGCTTAATATCTGCACGTGAAGCGACGTCATTTTTGCCAAGTTTATAAAATTGGGAGTTCCTTATTGCTTAATATTCTTCTAAGGTGACCCATTGTATGCAGTTAACAGTGTTTTCACAGGACGATTACAGGTTACAGTAAGTAAGGTTACAGTTCCTTATGATACTGAGTGGCGTATCTACTAAAGCAGAGAATATAAAAATGTAAAATTTATTCAACATAGAATGTTGTAGATAACATTCTGCACACACCGACGTTTTTACGACAAACAACACACAACGTGACATAACCGAGATTCAAGAGCGCATACCAGCAAAAAGTAGGAGAAAGCGGCCGATGACCCCAAAAGTTTATCACAGAGTTAGCTATCATTCTCAGAAGATACATGAAACACAGCGCAGCCTTAAGTGGCAACGGCTTTCTTAATGCGGTCGCGTATTCACACAAGAAAGTAGAGGAAGTGGAAGTAGTGGGCTCTCAATGAGTGAACATTCCAAGCGGAGCGTGAGTTGTGAACGAATTATCGTCAGTTTATTTTTGGAACGTTATCGGGAATGGTGCATGTGTTACGTCCTGACAACAGATGTTCCTTTTAACGGGCCTTAGACATCAACAGTGAGGAGGCATTCATCCAAACTTATTTCAGTAACGTATTGAGTACACGAGCTCGTAAAATAGGGGCTACGGAAACCTCCATTAACATAACATACAGTCGTCACCTACGAAGATGAATGTTGATATTTTGATTAAGGGGAATGATAATATAATTCATATTATCAATTACTTATCAGTTAAACAAGTGTAACAATGTGACTAAGTTTGGCGTGCTATCTAACTTATAAAACGGTTGCTAGAAAACTACATTGTAGATAAAAAAAATCGACAAGCATTTTACATCACTTTATATTTAAAGCTACTCGTACCTAAATATAAAATGTTTTATGACCAATACGATAGAGTTCATCACAAATGTATAAGGTTAAATGTGTGAAAAAACATGAGGATAGAGATCACAAACAATTTTTTATGATCGCATTTATCGACAAGCTTTAATGTTACTCACAAGTGTTATAAAATCTAATATAACAGGCGCTTTTTAGAACTACGGGAAGTGGTTCAAGCAAAATTAATGTTAAGTTTCTTGACGTTAATGAAAGTAAGTTTTCCAGTGCATATTCAATATTTTAAGTGTATGCACAATTTTTTTTTATTTTTGTATATGTGTATACAGTTCATTAAATCGGTACATTACTCGGTACGTAACACGGTACGCGACTCTGACTGCTGAGCCGGAGGTCGTGGGTTTGATTCCCACCCAGGACAAACATTGTGTGATGAGTACAGTTATTTGCTGTGTCTGGGTGTAATTTATCTATAATATGTATGTATTTAAAAATATATAAGTATGTTTATCAGTAGTCTGGTTAGCATAGTACAGACTCTGCCTAGTTTGGGATCAGACGTGTGAGATGTAGGTACGAGGTAAATTATTATTATATTCAATCTAATAACGAAAACATTTAAAGATATAATAGTTCCAAGTTACATAATATGAACTTGTTTAAGTCTGTTCTTGTTTAATTTTAAAGACAATTGTCCATAACTGGCTTTTTAACATATCTGAATAACATTTAAATGTAGTTAAATTTACTTGTGTGCATATACTAGTATATCGCTTTCGGTTTATTATCAGTCCAACATCAGTTTCTAAGTTGACTTAAGTACGTAATATTTAAGTCCCTTAGCTAAAAAACAATCCTATCAATTTGTTGCGATCACTAACAACATGAACACACGACATCTTTAAGTGTCAGTTAACAAGAACAAAACAAAACAATTATTGGTGAAAGACCTTTGACTAGAGAACAATAAAAATATTCAGCAAATTGACACACCACTTGATGGTAACGATTGTTATATTGATTCGCATTACGAATTAAGGCTGCCCAATTACATCAGTACAAGTAATATTCCTTTGGCGCATTTATCATTCAGCATTTTTATAATTGGGAGCTTGTAAATAGTTCACATTATACCAGTTCTTTTGGTAAATCTCTGCAATAGTCTATTACGTGAATCCCATTTGTTTATTTTTCATCTGGCACGCGATTTACAAGTAACAGGTGAATGTTGTGGACACTGGTGAGCGTGAATCGTGAAGGCCTTTGTGCGGACGCATTTCACGACGCGCAGTGACGTCAATATATCAAACAATGGAGGATTGATTCGATGCATTAACGTACAGTGGTATTATTGGAAGAATATTGGAGAAAAGAAATCGTGAACGCTTCTACAACTGACGTAGTCACACAATCCAATACTGTCAATGTTTAACCATACTCTGAATATGCTTACACCAAGACTTATTTATCTAGGGTTCATATTATCTAAACATAAAAATATGCGATGATACTCATCATTTAATCCTGTGAAAAAAACATTAACTTCAAAGATTAAGAATGTATTTTTAGTAATTTGAGCAAAATTAGAAGACATGAATATCATAAAAATTGTCGTAACTGTTCGATTCATTAGTGAATAACTGCTGTTATAAGCTATAAACGCGGGTGTGAAAGAGACATGAAATTGTATTGTTGGCTTAGTATTTAAACCGTGGTAACGAAAGTGAACGCTTCTTTCAACCTTGTAATCAAGTAATATACAATGCCCAGTCTTTTGCATGGAACACAAAGAGTTACAAAGGTGTTTCACGAAAAGACTGATTCCTCTACCAAATAGGTGACCAAAGAATTTCCTTTTCCATAAGTACACATGATCACATCAACAGCCTTTAATAATCCACTGCTGGAATTAGGCCTCTCCCTAAAAAGGAGGTTTTGGCCTACTACACCACGCTGGCCAGATGGGTTGGTACAGGATTTGTGTTAAGTTTTCTTCTTTTTGCAATGTTGTTGTCCTGCGTAGTTTGCTCCCTTAGTCGGTTCTTACGACACGCACGGGATAAATAGGTGTGACACTCCGTATTCTTAATCCCTCACCACACGGATAAATATTCCGTAAGTACATCTAACTTCAATGCAGGCTTTTAAACTTTGCAGTTAGTTTACTTGGACTCACTCAATCAGTTAATCACTTCACTTGGCACTTTTATGTACTTATTAGTATAGCCGAGGTCAAATTGGCCTTGAAGAAGCTCGGTGTGCTGCACAGATCGAGGCAGTATTTCACTCCAGCCCATCGCCTCCATCTCTATAAGGCAAGTCCGACCACATATGGAATACTGTTCTCATCTCTATGCAGGGGCACCACAGTACCAGCTTCTACCTCTGGACCGTATCAAAAGAAGAGCGACTCAAATCGTCGATAGCCAAAAGATTTGCGACCGACTCGATCCCTTGGCGTTACGTAGAGATGTAACTTCTCTCTGCATTCTCTTTCGTATATATCATACCGAGGAATTGTTCGGACTAATACCGGGCGCAACCTTTCGCCACCGTTTCACACGGCAAAATTTTCATCCCCACTGCATTCTCTATCGTATATATCATACCGAGGAATTGTTCGGACTAATACCGGGAGCAACCTCTCGCCACCGTTCCACACGGATAATAGGCGCTCCACCACTGTGCGCTTTTCACTTGTGACACTTTTTGCCTCGCACTACCAACCTCTGGAACAAGTTATCGGCTGCGGTATTTCCGGACCGATACGACCCTCAAACCTCTAAGAAAAGAGCGTACTCCTTCCTCAAAGGCTAGCAACGCACTTGTGACTCCTGAGTTGCAGGCGTTCATGGGCGGCGGTAGTCGCTTTCTATCACGTGTCCTGTCGGCTCGTTTGTGTATTCCATTTTAAAAAAATGGACCCTCATCAACATCTCAGCCGAAAGACATCCACTGCTGGACATAGGCCTCCCTCAGGCTGTCCACAAAAACCGGTCCTGTGCTTCTCGCATCGAACGGCTTCCAGCGACCCGTGTGGCTTCCCGTATGGACCCTACCCCTATTTAACTATACTATACTGTGTTACAATATAATCAATTTTCTCGACAGTATTTTAAGTGTACTCATATTTACCTGCCTTGAATTCAAATATATGAAAAAGCTCATAGTATTAAGTACAGGTTATTTTTTCTACTCCTCTTTCAAACTCCTTACTCATAAAAGATCAACAATTTCACTTTAGCTTTGTCATCTACATGAAGCTAACATGTACATAACAAAGCTAAATTAAACTCTGTTAAAAAACAATAAATCTTTTTTGTTGAAAAGTAAACATTCATTTTTAAACATGGCCTAGAAAATCAAACTTAATCCTTGATCGACTTAATATATGTGTCATTTAATAAATTATTAGAGTTGAATGGCTTGAATGAAAGCCGCATGAAATGATAACGTGTATTATTTAGCATTGCTGTATTAAAAAACATTGAATTGTTTTGAAACTGTTTGATAATAAATAATAACAAAAGAAATTACATTCGTGCTTCGTTAAAGATACTATATTACAATATATTACGAAAATATAATTACACGAAAACATTGAAACATTACACTAGCAGTAAGTTTTACACAAAAGATTGTAAACAAAATACAAATTTAACTACTCTGTT